TTCACTATCTCTATAATTTCCTTTTCAACTATGGGCTTCAAAAACATAGAACTCATGTTCCTTTCGATTGTATTATTATTTATAGTGACGGATGTATCATCTGTACAAATGCTTCTTGCTAAACCAGGACCAACATTCACAAAGAACCTATTGACCTTATAAACTACATCCTCCAATCTATTAACCGGTGTATCATTATCCATAAAATATTGAGGGTAGTTACTCTTGCTGGAACTGTTTCTAATCAATTTATTTAATATATTCCACGTACCTCTCATGTTATTTTTATTATCCTCTAATAATTTAGAGTAATATAGTTTCTTACATCTCCTCAAAATCTCAGTTAATTTGTTCTTGTATGACTTATATCTTTCTTCCGCCTTCTTTGATCTGTCCTTTATAAATTGCTTGTATAACACATTCTTCTTTCTGTTCACCAGAGAGAGAAAGTAAAGTACAACATATGTGGGAGCTTTCAGTGTAGTATTTGCAAAATGAGCATATTGTGTACTGTATCTACAAAAATGTGGAAACTTATTGTTTAATCCTCAGGTGTATTAAAAGTTGTAAAATATAAGTCTCCTATAAATCTTCATCTTTACAACTGTGTGTGTGTGTTGAAATCCCACAGTCTAACATCAGGCCTTTGCCAGTACATCATGTGGAATAAGATGTTCTGTAATATACAGTAACAATAAGTATCAGTCTATTAGATGTCATGCAGTAGATTTCTTTAATCTAGCCCATTTGATTTATAAAAAGTAAAAGTCCATTAATGTTCCGTCAGTAACTTCTGTCGCACTCATGGTGCTGTCTTGTTTTCACTCTGTAGGAACTGTTCCCATGAGAAGGTGGTGTCCATGCTGCAGGGCAGCGGAGCAAATCCCACTCTGGTGGTGGAGGAGGGTCCGTCTGAGTACTCTTCAGACCAGGCCGATCAAGAGGAATGTTCTAGCCTGGCCTCCACCACATTACCACGCTCCAGGTCAGTACATAGCATCAAACATGACATTTTGGTTTGGCATCTTCTGCAGGTCATAGTTCCACCCATCTAGCATAAACGGGTGATGCTTTTTTTTAAATTGAAGATGTAGAACAAAGGGGAGACCGTGTTTTCAACATACTATGATTATATTCCACTTGGCTGTCCAGGTCTCCAGCCCTCAGCTCTTTGCAGTGGGTGGCAGAGATTCTTCCACCAAGCATCAAAGTTCATGGACGGACTTTCAGCCAGCAGCTGGAGCACCTGCTGACTATTCAGGAGAGATACACTGTCTGTAAGGCCCTGGAGACCTTCTTCCAGCACAGGTCAGCGAGATGGAGAGATAGAGAGGATCTATAATTTTATGTAGACAGAGAAAGGATGCATGAGGACTAATAAAGGTGTATAGCTTACACCAAGCAGTGTTAAACAGATGGAGAGAAGTCGATGGAGGGAGAAGAAAAGCAGCTGCATAAGGGGATATTTGTTTGTTCTGGAGACTTTTAGTACAGCCAAAAACTCTTGAGAACAAAACTCTGAGTACAGAATGCATCTTTAGGCTCAATTTTCAGTATCTGTAAAAGCTGACATTGACTATGCAGTTGCCTGAGAAACAGTGATTTTAGCTTACTCAGTCTATCCGGCTGCTAAGGATGTTCTAAATGCAGGTGAAAGACAGAGATGGAAAAAGCAATGAAGAAACATGCACATGGCAAAGCAGGAGGTTTCTTCCTCTCGTTAGGCAGTGATAATATTTTCTTGAGGATCAAGTGATGAAGAAAAGGGTGAATTAGCTCTGCAAAATTAAAGCAAATACAGCTGAAATCCACTGTAAATGTATCTAGTGTAAACACAATTACATAAATCCTATCCTCCCACCTCAGTTTTGCATGCCTCTAGAGGCGAAGATGAAAAATATGCACCTAAGCTAATTCCTTATATCACGTGGCAGTCATATACATGGCAATAAACCGCGGTTGGCTATGTAAAGATTGTGCGTATGGGTGTTTGTGTGTGTGTCTGCAGGAATGTGGACACCCTGATAGTCGATGTGTTTCCGGTGTTGGACACGCCGGCTAAGCAGTTGATCTGGCAGTTCATCTACCAACTACTGACCTACGATGAACAGGAGCGCTGCCAGTGCAAGCTGTCACGCTTCCTGGGTTTCAAGAGCAGTGGTAAGCCAGAAACACATTATGGGGATTATCTGCATTCAGGGACACAGTCTGAATGCATCTACTGTATAGCATGAGCAGACTGACAGCCGGTTGCTTGATTTGATTTGAAAACACCCCATGGCTTTGCCCAGAGCACAGTTCCACATTTGGCTGCTAGATTACAATCATGAAGTTTCCTGATCAAAACAAAGATGCTAAATCTGTGCGTTGTGTGTGTGTGTGTGTGTTGTGCAGCCGTGTTGGAGCCTGACGCAGGCATGGAGCACCACCGACGCAGCAGCTCAATGCGCGTGACGGGGACTTCGTACCGCGGCAACATCCGAGACAGGAGCTCTGACGACTGCATCATCGGGACTCACCTGGGAATGGGTACGCTGCACCTAACAACAACAACAAGGGTGTTACATCTCAATGATGAGCTGTCAGCTGGGTGTCGGTTGGGTTTGTACCAAGGCTTCCTTTCTGAATCAAAAACCCATCACCTGAATGGAACTTTAAGACACTCGAAACTGCACAAATGCTTCTTACATTTCAGTTTTTCTATTTTCAAAATAACCTGAACATGAGTCTGCATTATTATCTGTGCAAAATCTGTGCACGCTGTTAAAGCAAATGAGATTAGTATAGCTTAGTACAGGCAAAATATTAGAGTTTTGTTGTATAGCTTTGTTATAAAAGCTACTGTATTCAAATCACCTGCTGTATTAATACAGCATTCAGTATTATTACATTGTTTTTGGGTTGGAAGTTTACTTTATTGAAGGGGACAGAAAGGGAGTAACACTCACAGCATTTCTTTAGCTGTTACTACAGTATAGTTCTGATACTCCCTTAAACAAGGTGTCTAAGCTGTTCAGAGCTCAGTAATAAGGTTTTGTTTAATTGTTGGAATGTGCAGCAGGATACTCCTGAAAAAGATGTGTGCTTTGAAATTGGTCATTACATACTCGTTTTTAGTTCATACATTCCTCCAGATCTCAGCTGCCTCTGCTCTTGATAAGGTCCCTGAGCTATCAGTTCAAAAGCACATTTTTATTTTCAACTGAGGCTGTTTCACGTCTCGGGTATTTTCATTCATCGTTTCCCGTTTTCCATTGCCATTGCTAACTGCTGCTCCAGGAGCCAAGCTTTTGCCTTTCCCTCCTTCACGCTGGCCTGCTCTGCTTCATCCTCTCTTGGCTGGAGGTGGATGGAAAGAGGAGGCTTACTGTACGTCCATATATTCATGCTTTATTGTGCTTTAGGAATTCATGTCGATGAATCTGGGAGTCCAGAGGAGAGGCAGTCAGGAGATGGAACCTCCTTCCCCGAGTCCCCCGACCTCAGTCATGTAGGTACAACTGCAGCTTTTCAGCACTTAGCTACTCAGCAACTGGCATATTGAATGCTAGTTATGTTATCTGTGCTCTGTGGTCTCACATCATTTGATGGTCTGCTTGTAATCACAGCAATTCAGTACAGTTAAACTGTGATTAGCAAATATTTGTGAAAATGCTTAAAAGCAGCGGACCTTCAAAGCAAATATACCACAGTGTTTGAGTGCTAATCAGCTGGTCATGCCTCCATCCATAGATGACAGGTGTGTACACCGAGCTGGAGAACGTGTACGCAGGGAAGAGTGTGGCTCCGCCGCAGGGTGGCTCTTCAGCAGAGCCCGAGGTGCGGGGACAGACTGAGGCCTATGGCCGCTCTCTCTCCCCCCTCACACTCCCCCCTCTCACAGGTA